TATATATATATATATTACCATTTAATAGTAAATAAGAGGTTGATTTGATTTAGGCAAAATAAACATAAATATCCTATCAAACAGGAAAAAAGACTTTTTTAAATCCTACCAAAACTTACATCAATATTTTTTAGCAGAATTTAAGTATAATTTAGCCTAAATCATCCCAAATAGCAAATATGATAACTTTAAATCCTTTAAATTTTTTGGATATTTTATTAATATGATGTTTAATTAATTAATAATTAATTGTGATATTAATATATATATAAACCTTAAAAATTTTAATTATAATTTAAAATTCATAATATATTAATAAAATGACGAGTGCTATTTGCTCTTGCATCATGAGCCAATGCCCATGTATGGCGCAAATAGTGCACACCATTTTGATGCACGACACTGCGCCAAGAAAATACGCCGCATGTGTGCTATGCCACGTGCCATGATGCGTGTTGTTTTGCATCATTGACATGTATGATTTTGTAACCCCATCAATGAGGTAGCAACCTCCAATTTCATCAATGTTAACTCTTATATTAGGGGTGACAACATATATCACTAAGTTAATTCTAATGACAAGGGAGGACACTAAAATATCTTATGGACTAACAACACCAATCGAGTCGACTACTACTCCACGTGGAGGCCACCTCTCATTAGATAGGAGGTGATTGACCCCACATCTCTCTCAAAGGTATAGGTTCATTGGTTAACTCAAGAAAAATGATTATTCTAATTTACTAGATTTGCAAATAAGGTCACTAAACACTTCCTCATGATTTAAATTGAAGTCAAAGTTTGTTATTCTCTCCTCATCCTATAAACATGAGCCCATGTAAACATGATGTAATTACATCTCATCACTAATTATAATGGAATTGTTTAAAAATTTATCAAAAACTCTCTCTATTGATTTCTTTGTATCAACCACCCTCTCTCTACATGGGTTGGCAATCTCTATAAATTTTTAGTTCCCCCCTCTAATGTGAGGTAGAATTGAAGAGCAAGTTTTAATCCAATGCAAGCAAGGAGAATATGAAGACGCATTCCAACTGAGGTTTCCTTTCACCCCTCACCAAGGGAAGAAAAAATAAACATAAACCTAAAATCTCATTCTCTCTTAAACCCATGGTTTAAAATTGCTCAATTAAGCTTTAAGGCTCACTTCAGCACAATTTAAAAAAATAAAGGTAATGAAGCATACGCTACACACTTGCTTGATGAGGCTTATGCCTCAAACAGTGTAAGGTGCGCCTCAAACAGAGTAACAAAATCCTAGTTGTGTAACATGCTTATTCTACAATAGAAATCTGATAGTAGCAGTAAAAAATTCAAGTACTTTTAGTGCGCCCAATTCATCTTCTACCATTTCAAAAATATAAGATGAAACTGTACCTATATTTAATTCAAGAAACAGTAACATTGCCGAGCTCTTCAGATCAAATCACAAGCATGAATAAAAGCTTTCAAAAAATTCTCACAAAAGGATTTAAATTACAGCTACGATACATTATAGAATAATCTGAGACTTATTCAACGTTACATTACGGACATAAGCAACGAAACAAGTTGAGATCTCTACATAAATTAGATTAAAAAATAAGGCAAGAGAAGTTTGAAACAGATTTCAAAACATCAACTGAACTAGAACGTTAAATATCTGAGGCAAGACACTTGACTTTTTTTTTTCTTAAGGAAGATTATAAGACTTTAATAATCCCAATTACAGACGCCTGAACACTACCCCTCATGTTCCTAAAGTCAAACCACAGAGGTCGTGACTGAGACAATTCCCACTTTTCTAGGTTTATGTCAAATTATAAATCATCATCATATCTTACATAAAATTTGAAGAAAACCCTAGAGAATTCAAAATCACAAGAACTTTTAAAGAACCCTAAAAAAGAAGGATTTTTTCCCACAAATATGGAGTAGCCAAATTTGTAACTAAACCAGCAAGAAAGCATCAAGATCCGTAACCATCTGAAAAATGTCAATCAAAACAAAAGAAATTTGATTCCTCTTGATTTCGATAAACTTATGAACTTGAATTCTCTAGTTATTATCTAATTGCATCAAGAAGATGGCTTCAAAAAGAACATGTTAAACAAACAATTCAAAGGTAATAACACCAACAACAAGAAGAAAAAGAAGAAGAAGAAGGAACAGCAGCAACAGTGAGAGAAATACTCTGCGGGCTACGGAAGGAGAAGGAATAAATGGCTTGAAGAGGAAGGGACTGAAGACTCCGAATGCCATTATCAAATGGATGATGGAGCTCGATCAAGCAGAAATGGTGGGCTGTGAGGAAATTGGAGTCCTACACATAGGGTTTTGAATGGGGTTTAGCTGGACAATAATTTCCACTCCCAAAGCGTACCAGGAAACGTGACCATCCATCAAAATAATTTAAAAAAAAAGAACATTTTTCTCTATAAATTAATTATTAGAGCATGATCAAAATGATCTATTAATTTTTTTTGAATGATCATCGATTATATTAAATAACTATTTTGATCCATCAAATCTTTAAAAGAAAATCAAAATAATTCGATTGAGAGATTATTTTGATTCTTTTTAAAGAATTGAGAGAACAAAATTTTCTTTTAATATAGTTGACGACTATTTTAATATTTCATAAAAAAATTAAACCTTTTATCAATTAATTATGAAATCATAGCAAATAATTTAAAGATTATTGCACAGAAAAGACCAACGAGGAAATAAAAATAATTGATTTCTCTTATATGTAATAAATTTTTAAAAATTATAAGGGTATTAATTTAAAAATAGAAATTTTTAAAAATCAAGAAATTTAGTTATTAGAATTTTTGTTTAAGCTTATTTTGATATTTTGAAGAATAGGCATTAAAAAAGTAAAAAAAAAAATATTTGTAATTTTTTTAGTATAACATAAAATTAACTATATTTATTTTAGGAGTTTGATCGAATTAAAATGTAAATTTAAGCTTAGTTTGGAACATCTTTGATAGTGCTTTCTATAATAGTTGTTTAGTACAATTTTTTTTAATAGCGAAAAAAAAAAACAGTTATCAAAAAATCACAGAAGCTTCAAACGAAGCTTAAGCTCCTAACCACTAGGCTAAGATGAGATTCTAAAACTTATTTGATAAATTATAGTCTTTATTTGAAAATATCTTCCAAAAAGATATTGACACATAAATTGTGTGAAAATTTTTGGATGTTCTAAATGAATCAATTAATTATTATCAATCAAACAAAAATATTCCTCAATTTTTTAATTTTTTTTTCAAGTATATCTTTTAAAAGATATATATATATATATATATATTTAAAATTTAATTATATTTAAAAATTTATTTTTCTACGCCTAACTTAAATTAAAATATATTTTAAGTAATTATTAAATATTTAACTATTATTTTAAATATTTTTATTATTTAATTATTATTTATATAATAATTAAAAAATAATTAAATATTTAATAAAACCCACTGTCATTCCATTATCTCTTTCTTCCCGCCCACACTTTCTCTTCCAGCCCGCTCTCCCTCTATCTCTCTCTCCTCTCATTTTCTCTCTCTGTCGAACACGTCTATTTGTATGACATATTTGCTCCTTTTTAAAATTTTAAATAAGTATGTTTCTTTTGCTAATTATCATTATTGACATATTCATCTCTAAAAATTAGCCACTATTTATTTAGAGCTTCAGCTAAGATACTTTGGCTTTTTTTTCAAAATTTAAATTGGAGATTTCTAAAATTCTTCACAAATAGTGGGTTTTTAAATCCCTTTCATTGATACTATGAGTTTATTTGAAGTCCTAATTAAAGCAAATAATAAGTCTTTGTAGAAACTCTAACATATATGTTGGCTTTCTTTTAAATGTTAGCATAGATGTGATACTTTTTTTAACTTGTTAGATTTGCTCGGCTTCTTAAGTAACACTAGAAAAGCTATATGGGTTTTATTTAGAAACTCTAATAGATATGATTTAGTTCTTTGAAGTACAAATGTTAAAAATGACTAGCTTGAGGAGTATATCTCCTCACAAAAAGAAAGAGAGATATTGTGTCATCTTTCTCTTTTTTAAGCTTAAGCTTTGAAGCATAAAGCCCTCGTTTCTATTATTCTTGTACATCTCACTGTGATAATAAAGATTTTGCATAAATCCATATTCTCTCTCCATCACTCACTCTCTCTCTCTCATATTTTGACTTCATCATCTTCACCTTCAAGTTCTCAGTTTACAGATAACCCGACATAGGACCCAACATCATCCGCCAGACAAAATAAGATTCATCAGTATCTACTTAATGTTCATGATCACACTCATAAAAGTAACTTATCCATTAAGCGCTAGAATTCATATCACATTAGTTGAAAATAAATTTAAGGATCTCAATGATTCAGATTCAAGCTCTCATCAAACCAAAAATGTATATTGAAGTTTATTCAGGGATCAAGGTTAACCTCAAGCACTGCTCCATTGTTTTTCACTTACCATTTGGGCTAAAAAGTCCATAATACTTCCCCGTTGGCCCCTTCTTCATAAGAGAAGCATGAGTGCCCTTCTCAACCAAAACCCCTCTCTCTACTACAGCAATCACATCACAATCCTTGATAGTACTCAATCTATGTGCCACCACCACAGTAGTTCTTCCAACCATCACTCTCTCCAATGCCTCCTGCACCACCATCTCCGACTGCACATCAAGCGCACTTGTGGCCTCATCCAACAACAATATCACTGGGTTACACAGTATCGCCCTCGCAATTGCTATTCGTTGCTTCTGCCCACCTGAAAGCTGCGTCCCAAGCTCCCCACATGGCGTTTGGTACCCATTTGGAAGGTTGCAGATGAAATCATGGGCATTTGCAGCCTTCGCTGCTGCCTCAATCTCTGCGTTGCTTACCCCCTCATCCATGCCGTAAGCTATGTTGTCCTCTATGGTGCCTGCAAATAGCACTGGCTCCTGCCCAACCAAAGCCATGTGTCTTCTTAAAGATCGAAGCTTGTATGACTTGATATCCTCACCATCAACACGAACTACACCTTGTAATGGGTCGTAAAACCTCTCGATAAGACCAATAATGGTGGACTTGCCGGAGCCACTGGGACCAACCAGTGCAGTGGAATGACCTGCTTTAATGTTGAGGGAGAAACGCCTTAGTACTGGTACGTTAGGCCGTGATGGGTAAGCATACACAACATTAATGAGCTCGATATCACCATTGAGAGATTCTGCATGGCGGCCCTCTGGATTCTCAGGCTCAATCAAGGTGGTTCTGTTAAGAATGGAGAAGATGGAAGTGATGGTGCTTGCACCCTTGGAGAGGTCTGAGGTTAAAGCGCTGGCCTCTGCTATTAGACGACCAGTGCCCATCACAATTGGTAAGGTCTGAAAAATGTCTTTGGCGGTGATGTGGTGGCGGGAGACGAGAAGACTACCATACCAGAAAGAAAGTCCGACGCTGCAAATGGGGATACACTGTGATATTCCAAGGCCGACGCCGGCAACCCAACTATGTCCGATGTTCACACGACGAGGGATGGCTTGAGCTGACTCGAAGAGCTTCAGGATACGATTCTCGGAAGAGAAAGACTTGATTGTTCGAAGATTGCTTATCGCCTCTGCAACAAGATTGCTACTTTCTAACTGGGCCTTGAATGACTTCTTGGATATTTTCTTGAGGATCACAAATCTCACATACAATGCAATGATGACCACCGGTTGTACGCAAAGAATAACCATGGCAAGTCGCCATGCAATCAGTAATCCCATTGCGATGGCGATGGTCACAGCAGATAAAGTCTGAATGATAAGCGACATTCGATCTCCCACCAATGAGCGCACCTACAAAATAAAACTCCTCACATATTTCATGTTGATTATATTGATAAGCTAATATGTAGGATTGTCAATAAATGATTCGACTTGACAATCCGATTCAGGTCCAATATCAAAAAATATTGGTTTGGATAAACATGGTCGGGTTCAAGTATGAAATTCTAATCCGTTTAATTGGCAAGTAGAATTCGGCTTGACCCACAAAATCCATTTTAGCCCGAAAATGACCTATTTATTTTTTTTCTTAAATTCTTTTGCTCATTGATGTGCTCTTCTTATTTTTATTAATTAACTCAACTTTATAGTTAACCATTTATTATTTTTTTAATCAAAACGGATATATTATCAAGTCGGATCCAGATCATCTGCGTTGCTAGCGGAACAGTTTCAGGTCTACCTTTTCTACCCATTTATTAAGTGAATCGGGTCATTTCAAGTCAGACTGAACCCAACCCATTAACCTATCAGCAATGATACAAAAAACATGATTTCTTACACTTGGTTTGCAGCTTTAATAAAATCAAAATGATAAAGCTGCAGGTAACTTCTAGTAAAATATTTGATATAGGCTTCGTTTGGAACAGCTTTTTTAAAAGCAATAAGAAAGTTATTACAAACGAAGTCATAATATATACATATTACTTACCATATTAGCATCTTTGGCCAGCTGAGAGCATAAAGCACCAGTGGAGTTCTCATCTCGATCAAACCAACTCACTTCAAAAGTCAACATCTTTGAGAGCATACGCTCCCTAATCCTCCTGGTCAGATGCTCACCCATTGTTGCCATATTATAATGCTGCATCAAATTAAAAAGAAAGAAGAACACTGAAAATCCAGCCAATAACAAGGAGTAAGTTCTTGCCTTTTCCTTCATCTCTTCAAGATCCTTGAGAAAGTAAATTGATACAAGAGTGCCCACAACATACCCATAAATTGGATAAGTTGCACCAGCCAACAATGCACCAGTGCAGCCTAAGATTGCCTGACGCCACTCTGGATAATTCAGCATAAGCAGTCTCCAAAATGATGGCGCCTCTTCTACCTGCTTCCTTGGATCTTGGTCATCTTCTTCAGCAGTTATCGACCAATTGGAGCTTGAAAATGAGAGGAGCTCAAAACCTGGGCTGAATGTATAGGCGAAGCTGTTACCATGGGCCTTATTGTTGTTGTGAGCTTGTTGTAGTGAAGGAGAGCTTGTGTTGATCATGGCTTCAGCGTAGTTGTCTGTACCGTTTGAAAATGGTTGAGATTTTTGGAGGTGAATCAGAGAGTAGTAGTGCCCGTCAATGTTGCTTATGAGGTCGTCGTGGGAGCCAGACTCAACGACTTTGCCTGCTTGAACGAAGGCGATTGTGTCGGCATTGCGTATGGTGGAAAGCCTGTGGGCGATGACTATGGTGGTTCGGCCAAAGGAGGCTACTTCAAATGCCTCTTGCACGATGACCTCAGACTGAGAGTCGAGGGCACTGGTAGCCTCGTCAAGAAGCAGAATTTTTGGGGATCGTATAATGGCTCTGGCAATGGCGATCCTCTGCTTCTCTCCGCCAGATAATTGAACGCCTCTCTGACCAACCTGCAACACATTCATTCTTTCCATCAAAGAAAAATGCAAATAGATCTTTGGATGATAAAAAAGTCGTGAAGTAAAACCTGTGTGTCGTATCCCTGCGGCAACCGATCGATAAACCGATTAGCATTAGCAGCCTTGGCCGCCATAACCACCTCCTCCATCGTCGCATCCTCTTTCCCAAACAAAATATTTTCTTTGATAGAAGCGGCAAATAGCGCAGGCTCCTGACTAACCAATCCCATCAATCCCCTCAACCACTTCACCTTCAACCTCCTGATATGGACTCCATCAATCATAATCTCTCCACCATTAACCTCATAAAACCTCTGCAACAACGAAATCACAGTGGACTTCCCCGACCCACTCCCCCCAACCAAAGCCACCGTCTTTCCAGTCTCCACCCTTAAACTAAACCCCGAAATCACCTCAGTCTCCGGCCTCGTCGGATACCGAAATCTCACATCTTTAAACTCCACCTCCCCCCTCACCTCCCCCAACTCCTCCCCCTCCTCGCACTCCGGCTCCATCGCCACCCGCTTCTCAATCACCTCATTGATCCCTTCCGCCGCAGAGGCCGCCTCTCCGAAACACTTGACGTTGGAAAGGCCGATCCCGAAGGCGATGCCGCCATTCACAATGCTAATCCCAGCGGCGTAAGCAGAGCCACCATTGTAGTCGTCGTGCGCTGCGAGACGAGTGTTGTACCAAACCATGAAGGCCCAGATGGTGAAGATGATGCCTGCGCTGCCAAGAGAGAAGCTTTTGGCGAGGCCTTGTTGGAGGCCGATTCGGACAGATTTTTTGAGGCTGGAAGAGAAAGCAGCGGCGGTGCGGTGTTCGGATCTGAAGGCGTAGACTGTGCGGATAGAGGAAAGAGCTTGCGAGGCAATTACGGCGGCTTTGTTGTATTCTGTAAGCATTCTGCTTGTCAGCTTTAGGAGGACGCGGCCGTAGATCAAGCCGGGAATGATGAGGAGGAGAGCCGCTGGGAAGACCACTAGTGCGAGTCGCCACATGAGGATGAAAGCTACGGCGAAGCCAGCAAAGAAGGTCGTGCAGTTCATTATCAGGTTCGGCAGCTGCGAATGTGTAGAAGAAGGATGAGTAATTAATTGAAATTAAGTTTTAAATTTAAAATGAATTTCTCGACTCTCTTCATTAAAATGTTTTTTTTTTTTAAATTGATTGTATTAAATTTTGTTATTAATCAATTATATGAGTTAAATGATAGTTAAATTTTAATTAAAATTGATTTGCTCAAATAATTAATTTAAATTAAAGTTTTAATTTGACTAAAGTTTTGATTTTAATTAAGCCCTTAAATTGATTGAAATTTTTTTTATTAAACTATATGATTAAATTCTAATTTTATTTTAAAATTAGTTATTTCAAATACTTATTTCAGTTAGTTTAATTTTAAGTTTTAAATTTGTTTAGATTTATAATTTTAAATCTTAAATTTAATTAAAATAATTATTTTTTTTTTATTTTAAATGGTTACAGATTGCAGCTCTTGAATTTAAAGCTTTTTAGATTAATTGTTTTATTAATTATTAAACTTATTTAAGGAATCTGGCAGAGTTAAATAATATTCAAGTGGTCTTTTAATTAGATTTTAATTTAATTTAATTTATCATATGAATTCTGACGGTTTAAATTGATTATTCTGTGAGGACGTCGAACGCCGTCCGAAAACCAACCAGAATATATCATGTCATTTCTTGTTGTGTACCGCAGCTCGGTGCCGCTTGGTATCACGGCTCTGTACCACTGACGTGGTTGCACCTGATTCATCTTCGAACATAGAACTGTGTCCGGCCTCCGCACAGAATAATTTTTCCTTCCACACATAGGCTTCCTAGGACTCCATGTCATATATAACACAAGAAAGCACACTTAAAATCCTCATTATATTTATATAAGAAAGACTATGACAATAATGTTCTGTCATATTGTTTATATTCATGAGTTTGATTCTTTGTTCATTCCTCTTCTTCTTATTTTTTTTCCGATGTTTTCACAGACGAATTCTAACGGTAATTTAAGCTTCGCTTGGGATGACTTTCTTATTACTTCTTAAAGCAGCTTTCTAGTACAAAAAAATAATTTTTTTTTACTAAAAAATTACTTTAAAAATAGTAAGAAAATCTTCCCAAACGAAGCCTTAATAATTGAAGTAACCACTATAGATGTAACTCAAATGACTATCTTTATGCATGCTAATCAATCCGAAGTCTTGCTTTTATTTTGATATTAATTCAGCCGTTTTATCAAATTACAATTTTATTAAATTTCAACATCTGTAGTAATAATCTCTCCATACTAGGAACTATTAGGGCTGCAAGCGAACCAAACGTTCGACGAGCTACTCGTTGTTCGGTTCGATTAAAGCTCGTTTGTAATCGTTTAATTAACTAAACAAACAAACTTGAACAATATTTTAAATACTCGATTCTTAAATAAACAAACTTGAACACTAACGCGTTCGACTCATTTATGTTCGCGAACAATATCATTTGAAGTTCATGAACAAGCTCGACATTAAGCTCGATAAGGACCTCGATAAAAGCTCGGTTCCTGTTCGATTTTAAACTCGTGAATAAGCTCGATAAAAATAATTAATATTTGACTATAGAATTAATAAATATAAATAATCATTTGACTTTGTTACATAGATAATTGTTTTTATTATAAATGTGTTTGTTCATAGAAATGTTCATAAACGTATTCGTTTGATAGTTAAAAAAAATTCGTTAAATATGTTCGCGAACAAGCTCGATAAGCACTAAATGAACGAACATGAACTGAACATGAACCGAACAGGAACACCTATTAATTTAAATGAACCAAACATGAACACAAACAATAAAGATCGAATATACATGAACCAAACTTGAACAACCTGATATTAAATGAACACAAACATGAACACTCACATACTAGACTCGGCTCGATTCGTTTGCAGCCCTAGGAACTATGGGCCATAGGTCCTCTCAAGAAAAAATAATAATAATAAATATATATTATTATCATTTATTTATTTATTTAAATAAAATTATATTTAACCAACTTTTATATTAAAATAAGTTACATTTGAATATTATAATAAAAAATTCATCATGATAAATTAATAAATTTAAATTTTATTTTGAAATCAATGGAAATAATATTAATTGAAAGAGCTTTTTCTATTATTATAAAAAAACAATTATAAAATAAAATTAGAGATTAGTGGATGAATAATATTAATTACTTATATTAAAAAAAATAACGCCGGACAAGCACTGAGACTCCAGCCGGCGCGGCGATATGTTTTATAAAGGGATAATGTATGACTCTAAAGTGACATTGTGACTTAAATAAATACATAGATAATAAAACAAATATTTATTGCATACATATATAGTTTTATAATTATATTTTTTTTTAATATCTATTTTTCATTTTTCAATTTTTTGCTAATTATAATTCATTGCTGAGAATGATTTATATATTTAGGATTTGTTTAGGATAGCTTCTTTGCTATTTTGAGTTCAAGACAGTACTTATGTTTTTCTTCGGAAATTTTTTATAATCATAGTAGCTAAGTTATTTTCGTCACAGTAAATTTGTAATCAACTTTATAAAAAACTGTAGCTATCTCAAACAGACAAAGCTTAATTAAAACACAAATTTTTTTAAAGCTGTGAACTCCTATGAATCATCTAATGCTGGAGAAATTATTGTGTACGCAATCCGAACGTGTTCGGATGTGCGTACACACTGCTTATTTTGTTGCGTATTTTTTTGATACATAAGGTTTTCTATGTATTTTTTGTGTATTTAGTGAGTATTATTTATTTGCTACTTATTTTGCCACGAAAAAATTATGTATCAAAAAATACGCAACAAAATAAACAGTGTGTACGCACATCCGAACACGTTGGGATTGCGTACGCAATAATTTCTCCTAATGCTGAAAGAATAATTACATGAACATACCTTCTCACTGAGAAAATCTTGGATGAATAAGGAGTTGCTGGAAATATCATTCACAGCTTCTGTTGTGGATGCCTCCTTGAACTCGAAATATGCCAAATCTTGTCTTAAAACAGCCCTTAAATAACGTATGCGCATTCTCGATGCTTGTCTTTCTCCTGTTCTTGTCCAGCAGTAGCCCTCTACAAAATGAGCATATCCTCATTAAAATCTAATTAATTTGGATCCTAAAATATAATTACTTTATCAGTAGATTATGGTTATGTTTGGAACGGCTTTCTTACTGTTTCTTAAAGTAGCTTTTGAGTACAAAAATTTTAACTTTTGTACTAGAAAATTGTTTTAAGAAGCAGAAAGAAAGTCGTCCCAAACGAAGCCATGTCATGTATGCTTTCTAATATAGGCTTTGTTTGGGGCAGTTTTCTATTGATTTGCTTTTCAAATCGCAACCATAATTTATGTTTGGTCATCATTTTTCTGCTGCTTTCAAATAATTCTTCTACAACAACTTTCAAATAAGTTACTTTCTTCATAGTATCTTTATAGCTTCATTTGGGGCAGCTTTTTCATTGCCTTTTCGCCGCTCCGAAAAATTGTATGCTAAAGTTTTGTTTCGGATGACTTTCTTACTACTTCTTAAAGCGGCTTTTTAGTACAAGAGTTAAAACTTGTGTATTAAAAAGTTGCTTTAAGAAGAGGAAAGAAAGCCAAATCAAACGAAGCCTAAAAAAGCTAGTGTTGAAAACAGTAAGAAAACTGTCCCGAATGAAACTTACAACCATCATTACAAAAAGCTACAATCATACCAAGCAGACTTTTAATTTCCTTCTATAAATCTTCAAAAAATAAAAACAAAAAGAATTAAGAAATTACAAATCAAATTTACTTTTTAAAAACAAAAATTGAACCAAAACAGCTCCTTATGCCAAATTTTTATGAACAAACTTTGATTTTATGACTTCTGAGAACAAAAGCATTGGATGTGTTACCCATAAACGAGAGCACAAAGGAACCCGCAGCCACGTAGAGTAATAAAGTGGTATTACGGTTCATGTTATGGATGAAAGTAGTACTGGTAGAACTGGAGCCAAGGTCGTTGAACATATAGCTGCAGGCAAAAGTCATCAGCGGCGCCGACAAGCCGTCGCCGATTGAGCCGAGGAATCCCAAAGCCATCAGGAAGAAGTCAGTTGCATCTGCATGCATAAAAATATTCCATCTCGATCTGATCGAAGCTCGCCTTTTGCCATCTTCTTCTTCCTTCTTGCTCTCATAATTTCTTACTTCCATTCTCTCTGTCTCTCTATCTCTTGCAAATGCTATGAAGTCCTAACTCCTAAGCCATTCACTGTTTCTTTTATAATGCTTATTTACTCTGACTATTTCTACATGGATTATAAATTAGTAAGTTGATTGTCATTATATCAATCTAAACTTTAATATTTACTTATATAACACTCAAAATATTAAATATATTAAAAAAATATATAACCCATTGAAATTTCCAATGTTGTTTTGATACTGCCGCCAGGCAGGGGTGTCAATTTCGGATCACAGGTCGGGTTTGGGTTGAATTTGGAACTGACCTAACACTACTCAAGTCAACCGGAACCCGACCCATTTTTGCAAATTGTTTGGTTTTTCGGACCTAAACCCAACCCGCTTTGGGTCCAGGTCAACCTAACATGACTGAATGACGTCCCGGGACCGACTAAAAATTGCTAATTTTCAAATAAAAAAACGGGTCAATATCTAATTTTTGGGTAAAAAATGGATCAATCTCGGGTTTCCGGGTCAAAACGGGTCAATTTTGGGTTACTGGATCAACCCGAATCCGACCTGAGTTTAAAACAGATCGATTTGCTAAACCATAACCCGACCCATTTCAGGTCCGTGTTGACCATAACTCAAAATTTTCGGGTCAAGTTCGAGCCAAGTTTTCGGGTTGTGTTAAATATTGACACCCCTAGTCACCGGTCCATGTGGTAGATCCCATCACCAACTTCGCACACCGCCAGTCTGATCGCTAGCTTAGCACGCTATCGGCCCCATCGATGCCCTTCCCAATGAAATCCCAATGCTCCGCTCATGGGAGACCATGAAGCTCTATCACGAGGAGTTAAGGAGAGGGGCGGTGGTCGAAGCTCCTTCCCAAAGATATCTCATCTTGCAGACCTTCCTCTCTCGTGGCCTGGAATTTTGTCATTAATAGAGGTGTTGAAATATTTAAATGATGAGATTCAACCATAAAATTCTTTTGGTTCTCTTAAACCAAAAATGCAAGGTGCCAAAAAAGAGAATACCTATTCTACGTGAGTCATTCATATTCTTGATTTTATAAGGACAAACTCCTCATATGACCCTTTCCATATGTCAAATCAAGTATTAAATGTGAACCTCTTTTTATTGTCTTAAATAAATAATGCCAACAAATGAGTTAAATAACTTACATATTTAAATGCTATATCTGATATTATACTGAGTTTCAATGAACTAACCTTCTAAAAAATTGCAAGGATAACTTTCATGCTACTCTAGCATCACCTGCTTCTCTCACTTAATGCCAAATGTTCTTATGGAGCCAATAAAAAGATGCGAATGCTCAGCGATGTTAAAAATTTTATTAACGAGTGATGAATCAAAAAAAGATTAAAAATTATAGAAATAATTTAATATTTTAGGATGACAAAAAGTGGGTGATAATGTCATGACTGAAATATATATCCGTCTGATTTGCATTGAGATTAGTGCTATATATGATATATTGCTCGACGCTAGGCAAAACTCATCACCCAAGGCTCCGAGCAAGAATAAGGCTGTGAATATGCCAAAAACCCTTAGTCCAGTTGAGAAAAAAAAAAACCAAATGTTTGCATCTTACTCACATTGCTCTCATGACTAGCCTGTTATTCAGCTTGACCTTTCCGATGTTTTTATTCATGGAAAGCTTCACATAAATGGAGCACAAGACATAACCCCAAGGCCTTCAAGTTCTACAAAACCCAGCCTACGCCAGTCTCAGTGGGGAAAAGTCTGATTGAGAAAATTAAATAAACAAAAATTAATTACTCTTGAAAATTAAATTTTGTATTCCTCTAAAATTTAGAAAAATTTATTGAATAAAACTCTAGAATATGAAAGGTCTCCTCAAGAATCTGGAACACTTGTTATAGAATTCTCTGGATTATGTTAATGTATGTAATATTTTTAGAATGATCCTTATACAAATATAAATAGGCCTTTGGCCTTATCATTTTGATGTAAGAGAATATACATATAATTTTGAATGCAAGTTTCTCTTCCTTTGTCATTCACAATATCCTTTTTATTCTCCTATTCTATTCTCTACATACAAATTTTTCCTATCAAAGTCATATGTGAACTTAAACAGGCTCGCAAATAATGGCTTTCAAAATAAATCATGAGCTAAAAAAAAGTAACAACAACAACATCAAGCCTTTATCCCACTATGTGGGTCAGCTATATGAATCATTTTTTTCCATTGTGTTTTGTTAAGGGTCAAATTCTCATTTAAATTTGATAAAGAGAGGTCATTTCTAATATTTTCTAACCAAGTTTTTTTAGGTCTACCTCTACCTTTTTTAACATAAGCCAAATCTAATGAATGGTAGTGGGTCATCTTACACTACAAGAAAATCGTCAATTACCGGCGGATTTTTTCGGCGGCTTGCCGGCGGCCGACTTTTCCGACGGCATTCTGTCAGCTTTCCGGCAGCTTAAATTTCAGAAAAAATTCTGACGGTTTTCCTGCGATTTACCGGCGGTTTTCCAGCTTAACCGGCGGCTTTTAATAATTAATTAATAATTTTATTTTATTTTAATTAATTTTTAATTTAATTAATTAATTATTAATTTATTGGCCGCCGAAAAACCGTCGGTGATCTTTTTCCTACGCCATTTTTTCCGGCGGTTCATTAACTGCCGGAAAGCCGCCGGTGTTACTGAAAACCGCCGGTGTTTCCTTATAAACCGCCGAAAAAAACCGCCAGTATTGACTATTTTTCCTGCCTAATTAGGTGAAATATTGGCTGTTTTTCCTGCCTAATTAGGTGAAAATTAATTATTTTAATAATATTATATCAAATAATCCATTTCTATTATTTGAAAATATGACTTTTTTTTCTTTATCAAATTCAAAATTTTAAACATCAAAATTTCATATTCACCACATGTCAACAACATACAAATGGAAATCACTTAATCTTATATAATTATCATCACAACAAAATACAATGTAAATTTTAAGTAATTAACTTCATCTTGCTTCTTGTCATGGGACCTTGCTTATTGGCAACTTTCATCTTGCTATGAGCACTAGCAGTTAATCCACATGTTTTTGCATTGGCACCTGATGCCACACACGAAGCACACAATTATAAATTTACGCTTCGTTTGGGACGACTTTCTTATTGATTTTTACAGTAACTTTCTATTATAATTTTTTTAAATTTTTGTACTAAAAAGCTGCTTCAAGAAGCAACAAAAAAACTGTCCCAAACGAAGCCTTAAACTACCTCTTAAATGGATAAATCTGACAATAATGGACATGATCCCAAGTTTGACTTCTTCAACTAAGTAGATGAGGATGCGGTTTGTTCTTTACTCTAATATCAACTGAATCTTGCCAAACCTGCAGGTCTTTTTCAGATTTATCAAGATCTAATAAAATTATCACAAATATTTTTTTTCTTTTTACATGCAGTTGATGGTTGCCCAACTATTCGTTGAATAAATCAATTATGAAATAAATTAATTAGCAAGTTTTTTTCTTACCCTAAACTTGGAAGAATCAGCTCGTGTAAAAAGCGAACAATATCATATTCATATAGAGGTAAATCGAAGCATAACTAAACTAATCCAACATTTGCCCTTAAAACAATATAATTTTAAAATAAAGATCATAACAATAGCAGATTTCATACATATTCAAAGATCAGTGATTTGCAAAAATGCACGAAGTGGCGGCGAACGAACCTGGCGTGACTGAGGCACGGCGAGAGCGAGGCACGAGATTGGTGGCGCCTGGGCTATATCAGGACCGGCAGAGAACTTCGCGGCTAGGGCAAGGCAAAGGGACGGCAGCAGCTGACGCGAGCAAGGCGCGGCTAGAGCAGGAACGATGCATGAGATCGACGGCGGAAACTAATCGCAAGGGATTTCGTCGGGACGAGGCGCGGAAGCTGTAGGCGGGGTTTTAAACTTTTAATGCTTTATTTCATTCTTTTATCATTTATATTTAAAGAATATAATACTATCACATAATTCATTGCTCATATTTATGGTTTCTTTTTTCTAAGCATCTATATTAGAAAGATATTTTTACTGTTTTTTAAAAAAGTTTTTTAGTACAAAATTTTTAATACTAATTTTTTTTTTTTTAGAAATAAAAAAAAAGCTATCCTAAACGAAACCTAAAACTCTTATAAATGCTTTTTAGAGCAACTTTTTAATAAAAAATTAAAATTTTTATACTAAAAATTTACTTTAAGAAGCAACAAAAATATTGTTCCAAACAAAGCCAAAATGATTTGTTTTGGTTTTGAAGTTGTTTCATATATATCATCTTAGGTTATGGTTTCGTTTGTGACGACTTTTTTATTGCTTCTTAAAGCAGCTTTTTAGTATAAAAATTAAAAAAATGTTTTAAGAAACAGTAAAAAAATCGTCCCAAACGAAACCTATATGTCTTTGGAGTTAGTGACAACTCTATTGGACTCATCGGCTATATATTATCGTAGTATAGATATATGAAAGACACTATGCTTTCCATATATTATGGCAACATTAGTCTATAAGCTCCATTTTTAATATTTTCAATAATTTCATGCGATCCTATGTAACATAGGCTTAGCTTTCCTGCCTAATCAAAATGCTACATATTTTTTATTATACTAACTTAAATAAACGCAAAGTCTCCACCATCAAATTCTATATGTTGGTGCTTAACCTCATCATAGTATCTTGCATTTTCTTCAATAGAGAGCTTCATATTGAGCCATTATATTTCTTACTCGAAATCTATCATTGTAAGCAACTTCTATCAATAATACATGTAATTCATGGCCTCCATTGAAATCAAGGACAATTTTTTTTTGTTAGTACTTGTAAAACTATATGTAGATGCTTAGTATGATTGGTTTTATCTTTTGAATGTACAAGAATATTGTCAATGAATACAAACAAAAATATATTTTAAAATGGTCTAAAATTTATGTACATCATGCCCTTGAAAGAGCCTTATTTAGTACAAAAGGTATTACTACAATTTC